CCCATTCACCAACAGACTAAAACTAGAGTAGAAATAAATGGGCCATTCTCATGTTGGGAGGCTGTGATGAGTGGGATATCACAAGGAACAGTACTTTGGCCCCTGCTATTCACAACATTAATATATGAATGATTTAGAATTGGAGAATAAATATAATTCCAAATTTGTGGATGATACAAAGCTAAGTGGGAATGTGTGTTTTAAGGAAAATGTAAAGCAGCTTCAGGAGGATTTAGACAGATTTTGTAAAAGGGCATGAATACAGCAGATGGAACATAATGGGGAAAAAATGTAAGGTTATCCACGTTGAAAAATAGACATGCAGAGTATTTATCAAGGATTTCCTTAGTGTCCTTGTCAATGTCACTTAAGCTAACAAGTAGGTGCACTTATTAGGAAAGTTAATGCAACAGGATTTGAAAACAGAAACACTGAAGTTTTGCTTCAGTTGTATGTCGATTGGAAGGACTGTCCTAACGAAAGAGATTGGGCAAACTGGGCCTTGCATTCTTCAGAGTTTTTAAGAATGAGAGGTAATCTCATTAAAACTTAGAATAATTAAAGGAATAGACAGGATTGATGTTACCCATGGTTGGAGAACAGAGAATCAGGGATCCCTGTTTAAAACGAAGGGAGTTATAAATTTAGGTCAAACATGAGATCTTTTCCCTGCAGTGGGTTGTGTTTGGAATTCTCCACCACAGAGGGATGTGGAAGTTCGATCTTTTGAGCATGCTTAAGGCAGAGATTGATAGATAATCTGATTACTCGTGAAATACAGTTATGAAGAAGGGGTGGGTAAAAGGCATTGAAGTTTTCTTTCAGCCATAGTCCTATTAAATGCCGGAGTAGACTCGATACCGCGTACCAATGTCCAGTTGAAGGGCATTCTTGAGACAAGAAAGTTGAGAATAGGTAAAGCGGACATGATACTACGCATACAAAGCTGGCAGTGTGAAACAGGGCTCTAATGACTCAACAGCCCGGGTGGTAGATACTATCCTTTCTTCCTAGTGTTTCTTGCAAGTCCAGTTGTCTACCAGGTTACATCTCAGCACAAAATCGATTGCAACCCGTTTTTTGCCAAGATTTATTAAATGATGTTTGGTCTCACCGAGCAGCTTTGCCTGGAGATACCAACCAAACAGCTGAGAGATAATAAGAACTGCCGATGCTGGAGTCTGAAATAACACAGTGTAGAGCTGGATGAACACAGCAGGCCAGGCAGCGTCAGAGGAGCAGGAAAGCTGACGTTTCGGGTCAGGACCCGAATTTTACGAGTAATCAGACATTTATCAAGCTCTGCTGATCCGTGAACATCATCTCTGCTCCAACACGACGACGATCGCTGCCCTGCGCAGCTGCAGGGGCAGTGCCAGCGTCATGTCGTCAGTACGTTGCTGCAATCGCAATGCCTGCTGGGATGCACGAGAAACTTTAAATAGCGGCGGCGACGGGCGGAGTTGGCGCAGATGGTTCGCAGCTGGAAGAGGGTTTAGATTGTTAATGTGAGGCAGGTTTTAAATTTGCTGTAGGCCGCAGCCCTTGTGGTTCTTGAGTGTACGGTAAGGATGAGCTGGAATGAGTAGAGATATGGCATTCGGTTGTAAGCAGGTTTTTCGTTCAGTGGGCCTCCCCGACAAGTGCCGCCGTGTCCCCGATCAAGAAGAAGCAGGGTTTGCCTTCAGAGTTTGTGCGCTGCCAACGCATGGCGCAGGCTTTCATTCAGTCCCTTCAATTTGGGCTGAATGGCGTGCGTAGCTCAGTCATGCTAAAGTAAAGACACGGCCTCAACAACCTGGGAACCTCGTGGTTTTCTCGCTGTGCCTAGGAAATAGCAGGCTCTCGTTTAGGCGTAAAATGTTTGTAATAGTTCCGTAGTTCCTTTCATTTTCACACGTGCAGTAAATTCCAAGTGTAAAATATAACACTCTTTTATTTACGTAATTGCTACGTCGTCATCTTAAATTGGAACCGCGAACGCACGTGCATTTAATATTGTGTGCATTTAAAGTCTCCGGGTTGGTAGGGACTTTAGCACATTGTTTTTCGTTATCTTAAATCCTAAAACACATGATTAATAGAAATTCGGTAGCTATAATTCTTTAAGTGAAATCTACAAGAGTTTCCAAATGGTACGTATTTATCCGACAAGTGTAGAGTTACAGAAGTCGCTCTCGGCGCTCCCTGGGGTTTGAATCAATTCAAGGTTTTCTTTAACCTGCAGATTAAAATATTTTCAAATTGAAGTTACATTTCACGAGGATGGACTGAGCCTTCAGCATCTCGAAAGTTCTATTTACCAGTCTTTGTGTAGCTTCATTGGCTACAATCTACCGTGGCTTCATTGGCAACATTTATAGCCAAATTAAATTGATGATCTCAAATCTCTACCAATTTATTAAATTGGTTTATATATTTAGTTTGAATTCCAGTTAGTGCTGAAGCGTTTTCACTGCATAAATTGTCTTTTGTTAGGTGGTAAATACGTGGGTATGATTTCTTTAATGTCCAGCTGTGGACCTGGTATGTTTAAGGTTATGATGTAAGTTATACAAAAACAGTAAAATCTCAATTAAACTAATTGAATGGGACATAGATACTTGATGAAGATCGTATTCCATTGTTTCAGACAAGCAGTAACCTGTATGTAAACTGAGACCTGCTTTGCCCAACAAAGACAGCATAAAAACATTTTGGGTATCTCTGTGGCCATCATGAGCTGAAGCATGACTTGAGCCCAGAGGTGGGACACTACCATTGCATTGCTATAAGCATGAGTAAGGCAATTGTGCAGCTAAGAATTGTTAATCTGGCTGAATCCACTTTTGCTGCAGGGCCAACAGCTTGGGGGTCTCAACATAATTCTGTGGGTGTACCTTAATTACAAGAATGGAAACATTTTAAGAATGTAACTGTCCATATATTGTGCATATTTTTTAAAAAATCAAGAAATGTTGGCCTTACTAGTGATGTACATATCTCAAGAATGATTTTAAATCTTAAATTTATTTCATGTCAGTGACTGCATATTATAAACCAGGGAAATATTACATTCTCTTCTAAGTGCAGCACTCTAGATTTCACTTGCCTGCTGCACAATTTTGTCTTTGTAAAGTGCATTGTTACAATTAACTAACCATTTCTGAAAAGTGAGATTACAAGGTGTGGAGCTGGATGAACACAGCAGGCCAAGCAGCATCAGAGGAGCAGGAAAGCTGATGTTTTGGGCCTAGACCCTCCTTCAGAAAA